TCATTTCCAATAATTGTGTTCAATACCTTGAATTGACAATCTCCTTTCTAAATACTAGTTTGATTGTTTCAACTTCCACGAGTAAGTTTATAATTATCAATAAAGTCTGTCTAGATTGTCCTTTATTCTTGAAAATAGAAAATTCCTTATAAATTAAATTTGTTTACATTTATCTCAATTAGATGTACTATTAGGACTATACTTCAAAATTTGAAAGACAAACAATTATATGTTAAATTTTCTAAGGGTGAAATTTGGTTAGAATAAGTAAAATTTTGGGGGCACGTGATTTCCAAAGAAAGGGTATAGTGGACCAAACTAAAGTAGAAACAATATTATAATGAGATCCACCAAAATTAATAATCGAGATTCGTAATTTTCTAGGTTTGGCAAAATATTATAGGAGATTCATTGAAAGATTCTCTAAAATAGTTATGTTTTTAACCTAACTCACCAAGAAAGGTCAAGTTTTTTAATTGACAGAACAATGTGAGAATAGTTTTCAAGAGCTTAAAAGATTAATCACTTCCCTTGTGTTAACATTACCTAAGGGTAGTCGTATATGCTTCTAGACAATTAAGTAACACATGAGAAAAATTATCCAACTCATGATTTAGAACTAATTGTCATTATTTTTGCACTCAAAATATGGAGACATTATGTGTATAGTGGTAAATTTGAAGTTTTAATTGATCATAAGAGTCTTAAATACTTGTTTGATAAAAAAGAGTTGAATATAAGATAGAGAAGATTAATGGAATTTTTAAAGATTATAAGCAAATAACTGATAGACACTTTAAGTAGAAAATCTTTGCATATCTCTTTGTTGATGATTAACGAGTGAGTCTACTAGAAATATTTAAAGACATGAATTTGTCAATTACCATAAGTCTTAATAGAGTAAAATTATACTCAATTCCAATTACTAGTGATTTACAAAGGCAAATCCATGAGGTTTAAGTAAGTGATGAATTCATTCAAAAGAAAATCAAGTTGATATGACAAAAGAATGGAGAAAATGTTGGCATAGATAGGGTAGAAATTTTGATATTTAATGATAGGATATGTGTGCCTAATATTGTAAAGATTAAGAAGTTAATTTTAGAAGAAGCACATAAGAACAAATTGAGCATAAATCCATCCACAATAAAAATGTAACAAAATATTTTGTTGACTTGAAATGAAGAAGGAAATGACACAATATGTAGCATTATGCTTAGTTTGTTGAAAAGTTAAGATAGAACACTAAAAGCCAACAAAAATGCTACAATCTTTAGACATACCTACGATGAAAATGGGATAATATAGCAATAGACTTTAGTTGGTTTACCATGAACAATTTAAAAATTTAATTCCATATGAGTTATCGTGGATAGGTTGACAAAGTCTACTCACTTCTTATCCATTAACATTAGGTATTCATTAGAGAAACTGACTTAATTGTACATAAGAGAAATTGTTAGGTTTCAGAGTTTCATCTAGTATTATATCGTTAATAGGGATCCTAGGTTTGCTTCTAAATTTTGGGGAAGTTTACATCAAAACCTTAGGGACTAAACTTCATCTTAGTTCAACTTATCATCCCTAAACCGATGAATAATTAGAGAGGATCATCTAGTCCTTGGAAGATTTATTAAGAGCATGTGTACTAGAGGATTTTGATAGTCGAGTTCGATACTTATCATTGATTAAATTCACTTAAAGCAATAGTTTTTATTCTAGCATATGTATGGCACTTTATGAAACATTGTATGAGAGAAAGTGTAGAACACATTTATTCTAGGTTGAGACTTGGTAAAATTTAATCTTAGGCCCTAACATGATTCAGCTTACCACGGAGAAAATCAGGATGTTTAATAAAAAAATTAAGAACAACTCAAAATAGACAAAAAATTTATGCTGACAAGAAAATGTCTTGAATTCCAAGAAGGTAATCATATATGCTTAAAAGTCACATTTAGAACTGGATTTGGTAAAGTAATAAAATCATAGAAACTCACTTTTTGATTTATTGATCCTTATCAAATTCTCATAAAAATAGGTCATATTGTTTACTAAATTTTCTTACCCTCTTTTCTTTCTAATCTTTACCATGTGTTTCAATTAAGAAAATATATTTTTTGTTTTTTTCATGTACTAATTCTGGATATAGTATTATTAAAGGATAACCTTATATTTGACACAATGCTTGTATAAATTACTGACAAGAAGATAAGTAGTTGAGAGATAGGTAAATTCCATTAATGAAACTTGTTTAGAATGAAATCACTACAGAAAATTATCCTCGTATATTTTAGTCAATAAAAATTTTGATAACGAAATTTTGTAAATATGGGAAAAATGTAACACCCTACAAATGTATCATATAAAAATTTTCAAATACAAGTATAATGTTATAACATTTTGGTAATTTAAATATTTTTAATAAAATACTCATTTATTCATAAAAATTTAAATTATTAAATACATATATATATATATATATAATAATGAAAATAATGATAATTATACTAACTAATTATAAATTAATAATAATTTAATAAATAATAATAATAATAATTAAAATTTAAAAATTAATTAAAAATTAAAACTTAGTTAATTAATTAAAAACGAAGAAGATAAGATCTCTTACCTTAAAATGATAAGCTAAGCATAAAAATTAATAATAATAATAATAATAATAATAATAATTATTATTATTATTATTATTATTATTATTATTATTAAAGCCTGAGATTATTTAACATTAAATATAGTAAAAAAATGAAAATTAAATTCAATTTATGGGTATAAATAGGATGAGGTTAATGAAGGTGAAAAATTAAGGAGAGGAGAGAAAGGAAGAGAGAGAAAGAGAGGGGAAGAGGAAGAGAAAGAGAAAGAGAGAGAAAGAAAAAAATTATTTATCTCTCATTAATCACATATCGTCTTTTATATTTAATTATTTACATTTAGTTACTAACTTTATTTATTAATTTATTTTCATATTATTTAATTGTTGTTAAATTTTCTTAAAGAATAATATTTATTTATGAAGATTTGATGAAATTGTATATAAAGATTAAACTTTGGAGATTGAAATGTATAAATATCACTTACATAGTTATTAATGTTTGGTTCATTCATTACTACAAATATAATTCAAATCCTCTTAATATAAAATAAATGAAATATGTTGATGAAGTTGAAAATTTTATTTTTGTATAATATTTTGAAATAATATTATTGATATCAAATTTAAGATAAATATTATTGATAAATCAATTACTTTTAACAAAGAAAATGTTTGTCAATTGTTATATATATATATATATATATATATATATATATAACATTTATCTCATATCTTATAGAAAATAATCATTTTTTAAAATATATTTAAGTCAAACTTGTTTTCTTTAGAATGAGAAGCAATCTCCCTTAACAAAATCATTTTTTAAAATATATTTAAGTCAAACTTGTTTTCTTTAGAATGAGAAGCAATCTCCCTTAACAAAATTTCTTTTTTAGTTTGGACTCCCTTCTTCATTGAATTGTTCCCAACACTTTTATTAAAAACAAAATTACTCTAATTAGGTCTGACTGTATAATGTGTGGAAATCTCTATTGTGCTAATGCAATTTTTCTAAATTTTTATGGACACAAAAATTAGTATTGATCTTCTTTTCATGATCCTCCCATTTATACAACATATAAAACAAATGAAACTAAAACAAAGTAAAGCTTTTATTATCTTTTGATGTATATATTATGTTATGGACATCGAACAATCAATATAAGAATACTTTACATATTACAAATATCATAACTACGTCTAAGACTAAAAGTGGGTTAGAGACTATGTCACAATGAGCCATTGTGAAAAAAGAGGGAACAAAAAAAATCTCAAACTCATAAGATAAGAAACATTCAAAACCCTAAAGTTTAATTAATTATTGGGTCAAATAATTATTTAATTCAAATTTTCTATTTTCCATATTTCTTATTTTTATAATTTGTGAAAATAACTTTCCATGTCTTATGACATTTTTCATGTCTAACATTAATATTTTTAAACTTTCTAACTCATTATGGTGATTAGTGAGACTTAAGGAGTTATTACATGATTAGTGGGAAGTAAATATTGACAAGATTATTAGTAAAAATTTCTTTCTTACTTAACATAACTATAAATAAAAACATATTATAAGCTTTTAACGCACAATTAAATATAAATATTAATCAAAATTGAATATTTTTCAATGTTATAACTTTCCCATTTGTTTCTCTTAAAGAAATTTATATTATTGGTTTGGTTATAATTAGATTACACGTTCATTAATATCGTTAGCTCATTTTGGTTTGGTTTTAGTTCAATGTAACTAAGGTTAAATTCTTCTTTGTTTACTTTTATCTTTTTCAACGACAATTCATAATGAAAAATTGATAGGTAATTGGGGATCATAACATTTATGATCCAAATAATATTCAAATAACATGTATTTAAATTTTTAAATATACAAAAAAATATTTCATAATATTTAATTACTTGTCATAATCATTTCATAATTTTTAGTAAACTAGCCACTTCTGTTAATTGTATAGAAAAATCAATAACAAATAATAATCCCTATAATTCCATTTATCTACTTCAAAATTCACGACATTTCCTTATTTAATCAACTTCCTCCTTTCATTTCAATGTTCTATGAGGAGATGGTGGCAACATATTTTTCCTAATATTTTTTAACACATTTTTTCCATTGGCGGAAATTTACATGAATCTCATCAAATATAGAACAAAATAAATCTATTAAATAGAAATGAGAGTGAAATTTAATAAGATTCACTTAAATTTCACCCGATTGGAAAGAAGTGTGTTAAAAAAAAAAGGTATATTACTTTGAGTTTATATAAATTCCCTGTTGAACATTATCATAAAAAAACTAAGACAAAGTAACAATTAGCGTATAATCAAAAGAAAGAGACGTTCAATGGAAGAGTTGGTAGCATAACATCCATCAACACCGCCATGCAGAAGCAGCAACGATGGCCCTATCTTGCCACCCAAGCAACAAGCACCCCTTATCCTCCGTCAATCTATACCCGTCACAAGAGTACAGCCCCAGCAATATCTTTGACTGAGTCACCGCGTTCGGACTCAGCGCCACCCCCTTGAACCCCTTCCCCTCCATAATCTTCCGCCACTTCTCCAATCTCTCATGCCGCTCAAACCTCTCCGCCCCATCGCATGCCACGATGTTCCGTATCTCCGGCGCAAATATGTACTGCTCCACCTTCGCCCGCTGCGCGGATTCTGCCGGAAACGTCGCGTCCAGCGAGTCGAAGATTGCCGAGTAGTAGTGCAACGCCTCGAGAAACCGCCCCAGAAAGTAGGGTCCGTTGTGGCTCGCCTCTTGCTCCACTAGGGTCACTATGTTCGGCGCCTGGTCGCGTATCATGGTGAGAAGGTTCCCAAGGTGGTTCCCAGGGACGCGGTGGAGGCGATTGACGGAGTTAACCGCGAGGGCCTCCCCGACACGGCGGTGCAGCATGTTGGGTTTGAGATCCTCGAGCTGTTCTCCGACGGCGTGGAATTCGAAGGGGATGCGGAGGGAGTGGGCGAGCTCGGTCAGGCAGCGGCCAGTTTCGCGGACGGCGTCGAGGCAGGGGCCGACGCCGGTGATGCGGAGGAATGGGGCGGCGGCGGGGCGGGCTGCGAGGGCCTGCATGAAGGCGGGCCACTGGTAGCCCTGGAGAATGTCGAGGTCGATGATGTGGACGCGCTCTTCCGTCTCGAAAGCTTCGAAGATGGCCTGGTTGGCGGTGAAATGAGCGAACTTGACGTAGGGGCAAGCCTGGTACACGATCTGGTAGATTTTGAGGACTTCCATGGAGTTTGAGGGGGTGAGTTGTTTGGAGGGTTTCGCGGTGAGGGTGGCGTTGAGCCTGGCGCTGAGCGAGTCGGTGAAGCACGCCGCGACACGCTGCATGGAATCGCCTAAGGGGGTAACGACTCGGTTTAGGTGGTGAAGGTACCTTCTTGCTAGCATGTATTCCTCTTTGGCCACTGCCTCTGCACATGCCAGAAGCAGGTGCACCAGTTGAAGCCCGCTGTCTTGATCCTGTAACGTTCATCAGTGTCATAATCCACTTCTTTTCCAACACATTATCAGTTAAACTTCATTTGCCACTTAATTGAATCAATAGTTAAGATTACAAAAGTAGAACATGTATACGAGATAATTTTTTTAATAAATTTAAAAACTTCATAATGCCATGTAGATATTGGTTGAGATTTAAGACCATACACAGGTAATGCTTCTAGACTTAGTAATACTTTTTTATTGAAAATATTGTATTATTAACATTTTTTTTTTAATTTATAAAACTTTTTCAAGAACTTTTGCTACATTTCCTTTCATATCATAATGGAAGTTTCATCTTAATAACCCATGTTACTGTTTAACGTTAAACCTTATGAGGTAAAACTTAGTGGATAAAAATTAACAGCAGAAGTAGTTAAGGATATTACATTTATCTAAATTTGAATAAGTTCTTTCATGCTCAAACTTTTTGGTATTTAGCGTTGTACTTCATAGAATTGGAGTTTACTTTAGTAGTTTACGTTGACTTCTAATAGAAATTATCTAGATGAAACTTTCAAGAATAGCACGAAAGAAGCTAAGGTAAACGGTCCTCTTTCATGCCCAGTTATGAATTATATGGATTAGTTTGATAAGAGAATCAATTGCTTGAGATTGAAGCTTTTTGATGAAGTAGTAGGATCAGGGAAGATTTTTTAACCTGCTCGATTCCGATTGGAATAGGCACCATCAGATTCTCTTGCTGGCGCTGTTGTTGCTGTAGTTGTTGTGCTTGCTGCTTTTGCCGTTTCTCTTGGTAGCGTTCTTGTTGTAGAGCCTGTGAGAGGGATGCACTAGCCATGGACCCCATCTGATGATAGATGTCACTCTCTTGGGACAGTTGGGAAGAGCCACCACCGTGCACTGAGGATTCTTCATCGACTGATCCATGGTACCTTGAGGAATTGGGCAGTGTCAAGCTATCCAATATGGATGATGGGATTTGAGTAGACAAGTCAAAGCATTCAGATGAACTTGCAATATCAGAAGAAACCTTGGTTGATGAATACCCTTGATAGTCCTCCAAGAACTCTTCTATTGCAGGAAGTGAAAGGTTTTCAACATGCTGCATGTACTGATTGTTTGGTGAGTTGAACACCCTGTGGAGAGGACTAAGTCCTTTCCCTTTGTGGCTGCTGTTGAAGGCTCCAACATGGGATGAAGAAAACCTTGGTGGGGAACACCCTGATAGACTCTGACCTTGCATTCCCTGAGCATAGCTATAGTTGCAATTGTAGGAAGAGGCATGTGGGGAGGGGACGTTCCTCACCGGGGAAGAGATCATGAAATCAGCATCTAAGTGGTCAGCGAAAAAGGATTCCCACATTGAACTATCTGGTGACTGAACTTCCACATCTCCATCCAAGTCAAATTTGAGTGCAGGAAGGTTTAAGCTGGGTGGGGTTAGGCTAGTTTGGTCTAGATCACCAGAGGATTGAGTGGCATTTTTCTTTGATTGCAAAACTGAGTCATTTGAAGAAGTGGGTTGGTGTTTGGTTCTAGAGTTGTTCTCACTCTTGAGAGTTCCACAAAGTGAATTGATCATTTTCTTCTTCTTCCCCCCAGTCTCTCAATTATTTCAGTATCTAAGAGGCTCACAAGGAAAGGCAAAACTACAATTATTTGAAAGTGCTTTTGCTTTTTCTGTGTCTAAAGTTTGCTCTCATTTAGCCTAAGGAGGGTGTCCTATGAGCTATGGAGATTGGTTGGTTTATGGAAAGAGCAAAGTCTCTAATTTCTCCCTTCTTATCGAGAGAGGGAGGGACAGAAAAGACACCACCGAATACCAATAGTTTGTGATTGGAGGTTTGTCTTTGGTAATCTCCATTCATGTAATGTCAAAAGTGTTTGCTGGATTTTCAGAGGCCTAATTTTTGTCACTTTTGCCTACCTCTTTTAACTGTTTACCACAAGGCTTTGGAATACTAAGACAAATTGCTGGGGGGGCCCCACTTTCTTTGGGCCGGCCCATATGTTTACAAGGTTCTTTTTATACTCACCTGCGGACTCATGGCATGAAAGCATCTCTTGGTATATTTTTTTAGAAAAAATTAAACAAAAAAAAAGAGACCTTAGAAATTACAATTAAATAACAGTATAGCATAATAGTTAGAAACGGTTTTATAATTTAAATATTTTAATCTTATTTGTTTCACATATTAACTTCATTATCTACACTGTATATAAGAGCGTGATGGAGTGACTTCACATATTAATTTCTCACGTAAACATTCATATAAATGGCGATTGAACATAAAGCTAACGAGTAATTATAAATAATAATTAAATGAAAAAGGGTCTTAATGTAAATTTAAGTAATTTTATAGTTTCTTAGTGCACTTATTTCATATACTAATTTTAAAATATAAAACTAAGGTTACATTATAGTCCATATAATTTTCCCTTCTCGCATTATTCTTATTTCAACCAATCACTACACTTTATGTTGTAGTTTTGTTACAAGGTCATTTTATTTTTATTTCAATGATAGCTTCACCATTATAATTAGAGTATAAAATAACAATTAATTTGGTGTGTAATCAGTATTTTTCATCCATACGAAATCAATCCTCAAAAATTGGATTAGTGTTACATTTGAGTAGTTTGGATGAATTCATAAATTCAAAAGTTATTTGATCATTGAATTTTTTTTTAATTTTTAATTGTTTTACGCTCAAATCTTTTTTAATTTAAATAAACAAATTAAATTTTAAGATATTTTGAAACATAATAGTCTTTAAACTTATATTTTTTAATTCTTATAATTTGAATTTTAGTATCACTTACATTTTTTTATTAATAGACAGTCTTTTTATAAATGTTCAAATGTTTTCTACATTGTAAAATATCTTTACAGTAAATATAAGACCTATTAGTTTTAATAAAATTAACTTCGTAAAATAAAAAAGAACTGTTACTACATTTAAAATGTAATATTGTATTATAAATAAATAAAAACCAACGAGTATGTGATTGGATAAGATTCAATTATTTTAATTTTACTATTATGCAAATGTGTTAATATTTTGGATGTAAAATTTGTTATTCATGATATCTTTATCCTATATTTTTCTTATTTATAAAATTGTATGACATATATTTCAACTAATATGCGAGTAATACAATTAAATATTTATATTAAATTTATTAGATATTGAAAATAAAATTGGGTTAAAATTTAAAATTTCTTGCTGCCAATCTGCGAGGTACTACTTTTGACACAAAACAAACGAAACAATATTAATTTTTGTTTTCTTTGCAAGCATCGAAAAAGCTCAGCTAATAGAAAGAATTGCGTAGCGAAAGAAGTGACGGGAATCGTGTTGACATTTTGTGGAAAGAATCAAAGATGGAGATTAATATGAATATAGAAATGTAAGAGAGAATGAAACGACGACGTCATGAAAAGCGACAAGAAAAGCGACATAGGCAGCGTCGTCGGATACAACATCGGAGGGCCGTCCTACTCCTTTGGATTTGCCAAAGGAATCGAGTGCTTGTCTCCAACCCTTTTCTTTCTTCGGCGGCATCTCTTTATTTTCTTCCGCTTCTTTCAAATTAAATGTTCAGGAAGTGGAGGATGGATGCTATTTTTTTTTATTATTATTATTCATTTTTTAAATGATTTTTTTATTCTTTCTCTCTCTTTTTTTTTCTTTATCTTAAGGAGGCATTAAGAATTTTCACTTCCCTCTTTTTTTCTTCTTCTTCTTCTCTCACTTCAATTATTTTAACTAGTCACTTCATCTTGCTACTGTAAGCAGCACTTCTAGATTTTGTTTGTGGAAAGAAAAAAAAAAAAAGTTTTTCATGGCACTTTTTCTTTACTGTTGTCTTCTTTGGTGTGATTCTAATACATTCTCACCGGAAAAAGTTAATGCATGGTGCCAAAGTAAGCTGTACATACTCTAAAGTCAAAGTGGTTAAACAATTATTTATATTATGAAATACGATCCACCACCGCGATAAAAAAAAATTACAAATCATATAAATACTAAGAAAAAATAATTGATATTTTTTTAATATATTTATCTATTAAGATATTTGTTTTTAAATATAATTTAATAATTATAAATATTTAAATTATATAAACAATAATAATAATTAATAACCTGATGTTGAATCATGATGAGTAAAAAGTCTATTTAATAAAAAAATAGTAAAAGAATAAAAATACGTCAATCTATAGTAATGTTTATGATGGATTCATTTCTCTCCCCTTTATAAATTATAATAATTAAGATAATAAAATTCAATCTTATAAATTAATTATAAAAAAATCTTAATAAACATTTTGTAATTAGATTTATCAATTTTTTGCATAAACAAATATTTTGATTTTTTTTTATCATAATTACTTTTAAAAAAATCACGTAAGTGAATGTTTAGAACATTCACTAGAGTACTTAAAGATTTTTCAAACCAATCATTTCTCCTATACAATATGTTTACAAAAGATTTTGATAATAATAAGATTATTAAATAATTTCTCCTAAAAATTTTGAATTCTAATACAAAGAGAATTCCTTAAATGTGAACAAAATTGTTTCTTGGAGGATCGTTGATTAATAAGAAAAATGAGAAAAAAAAAGAAGAAAAACTATCTTACATCAAATCTTTTCCCTAAGCATCTCAATTATTCCAACTAATTAACCTCTCAAATTATATTTATTAAAACAAAACAAATTTAATAATTTTTTGACGTTAATTCTAAATGAGAATAGAAATAATAGAAATATTTTTATTTTATTTACAAAACAACAATGCTATAAAAACAATATATAATACTTTTTTAAATATTTTTGTTAATTTATATAAAATTAGTCTAGTTTTATATCGTTTATCTATAGTATTTCAAAAGAAATTAGTTTTATAAAAAAATTAAAAAATAATTTTTATAAAATTTAAAACCTCCTATAAATTTACCATCATTTCAAGTTTAAATATTATATTAAATTAATACTTAATTATAATAATTAAATTGTTTTTAAATTATCAATTAAAATATAAATAAAAAATTACAAAAATATTGGTGCTTGTAAAACCTATTCACAAAATTGTAAAAATTTAGCATAAAATTATGTGACATAACAATTCTTGTTTAAAGTGAAATAAGAACTTCAATCTGCTGCTTGTAAGAACTAACATTGGGGATGTTCTATAAACTAAGAAAAGTGGAAGAATTTGTTGAGATTTTGAGTGAAATTGGTTTACGTAAAATAAATTAAAGAATAATTTTTTTTATAAAATAAAAAATTTTATTTTATTTTTTCTTATATAAATCAAATCGACTTTAAATAATAGATATTTTATTTCATTTCATTTTTTTATAATTATAAATATTTTATTTTTTATTATATTTTACATTTTTAACTTTAAATCATAATAAGAATATTTCATTAGATTTCTTTTTTTATAACAAAATTTGTTTATTAATTAACTTATCATGTTATAATAAATATTATTTGTTTTAATTTAGTTAAACTTTTAAATCTGGAACCTGTTTCAACTATTTAATGACCCATCTTATTTTAAAAATATTATTAATAATAATATAACAGTACTCTCCCAGAGTCATTAATTATATTTAATTATATGTAGTATAGAAAAATAGTACTAACCCAAACTTTACATTACCAACAAAAAGAAAAAATAAAAATTACTTTTTCATAGTTGTTGTTTATGCTAATGTTCATTCTAAAAAAACAATATTATAAGATAGTGAGGATGGTGGTGTTTTTTTTTGTTCTTGGTACTTCTTGGTGGGGGTTAAACAAGGTGTAACTTGGTTAGTGAAAAACAAGGAAAATTATGATATTTCTTTTGGGTTGAACAAGAGAAAGTGGTGCGGTGAAGATGGTGGTGACTTTGGGCGGTGACAGAAAGAATGAAGAAAAAGAAATGGTATATGGAAAAGGTGGACTCAAGTAAGGATTAAAAATTGCAAGTAAAAGTCTTTTTCAAAACAGAAAGACTCACTGCAATGCAAGTGATCCTTCCAATTGAGTGTTTCATTTTAAATAACAACTCTTTAAAAAAATATTTTTTTTATTTAGTTATATAATTTCTTTTATATAAATATCTAACTTGTACTTATAATTCTTTTTCTTTCTTTTATTTGTTTATATATATACGTTTATTTATTTATTTAAAAAAGTTTAAATTTTAAAGACCGCATCTTATAATACATTATAGGAAATTAAAAGTATGTTGTACTTTATAAATACAAATAGGATTTTTTAAATTATTTTATAACTTTAAAAATTTTAATTTAATCACCATATTAATTAAAATGTTGTATTTTATTTTAATTTTTTCTCAATTTTAAAAAGTTTTATATGTATAAAAACTTAAATTTATAAGCTTAGTCAATATACTTAAAAACTTGGAAGAAAATAAACTCTCGGATGATCTTAGTTAATATAACTTAGTATTTTCTTATTAAAGGAACAGTCTCTCTTCTTTCTTAATTTTACCTCTTAATATTTTCAAATGTTTTATAATTAGTTTTTTTTTCAATATTTACTAAAAAATAATATAAAATTAGGCATTCATTATATGAGTGTGTATAAAAATATATGTTAGTGTAATAAGATTAAGAATTATAACACCTCATCTTTTTTTTTCAAATATAATATATTAAATTATAATATTTTGGATAATTTAAATAATTTTATAATAAAAGAGTCATTTATAAAGAAAATAAAAATATTATTATTGTTAAACTATTATTAAAAAATATTTATTAAAATAGTAATCATAATTTAAATTATTTAGAAAAATAATTATTAATTCCTAAAATAAAATTAGTTATTGATTATTATAAAAAAATTATTATTATTATTAAAATAAAAATTAAAAATAAAAGAGAGATAAGATTTCTTATCTCTTGATAGTCATTAAAAAAAATAAAACTTATAATTATCTCTTTCATTAAATAAAAGTTAAAAAACTTAAAATATAATTATAATTATAAATAGGGGTTACCGAAGAGAAGAAGAGTGAGGGAGAAAGAGAGAAAGAGAAAAAAAAGTCTCAAAATATAGTTAAATTAATAATTTAATAAAAAAAAAAGGACCATATTAGATGGTAATTAAGTAATGTTTTGTGTGTGACCTGTAAAATGAGTCTATCATAAGATCTTATGAACCCTAACTTATATAATTACATATAACAAATAATAGGAAGAACAATTAATCGACAAAAGCGATACAAGCTATCAGAGACATGACCGCTGCATTATTAAGAAACCAAAGGCGTGAAGAAACCAATGAATCACAAAGTTTAATTGAGTTTAGGAGAAACAAACCTTCACAATTCTTTGAAGGTTATAACCCATAAAATGTCGAATTGTGGATTAAAGAATCGTTAAAAATATTTTGAGTTATGAATTATCATAACAACCAAAAAGTGAATTACATTGTATTTATGTCAATAGGAGATGTTAAATATTGGTGAGATAGTACCAAGAGATTACTAGAAGGAGAAAAAAATAATAATTACTTGAGAGACGTTTAGAACAAAATTTTTAGAAAAATATTTTTTCAATAATGTGAGAAAAGCAAAAGAAATAGAATTTATGCAATTAAAGCAAGGGGTATGATAGTAGGTGAATATGTCTCTAAGTTTAAAGAGCTAGAAAACTATTCTATATTTTTTTATCATGTAGATGAAAGAATGAAGTATATAAAATTTGATAATGGGCTTAGGCCTAAATTAAGAAAAACCGTGACAATATTTGAATTTTTTTATTTCCGTACGTTTATTTAAAAGTGCATATATTTTGTAGGATTTTGAAAACTATCAAAATAATAAATGAAAAATATTTTGAACTCCGACAAAATAAAAAGAGACAAAATGAAGGAAAGTCCTACCATTGTCCTCAATGGAAATCTCAACCAAGCCAATTTTCTACAGGAAATTCTAATAAACCTTAAATAATCAGCTTAAGTATTTTAAGTGTGGACAAGATTATAATGCAAAAGATTGTCATCTTAAAGGATTCGTTTGTTTTAAGTGTGAAAAATCTAGTCACATGTTTTCTAAATGTCTGCAATCAAAATCACATTCTAATCCTTTTGCACCAAAAGCAAGACCTCTAATAACAGGAAGAGTATACATCATGACTAGAATTGAAGTCTCTCAAAATAATAATATAATCCAAGGTACATGTTTCATTAAAGATAAAACTTTAAATGTACTATATGATTCAAACGCAACTCATTCATTTATTTTTAATGATTGTGTTAAATATCTTGACTTGTCAACTTCCTTTATAGACACTAGTTTGATTGTTTCAACTCCCACAAGTAAGTTTATAATTATCAATAATGTTTGTCTAGATTGTCCTCTGTTTATTAAAAATAGAAAATTCTTTGTAAATTTAATTTGTGTACCTTTATCTCAATTAGATGTAATCTTAGGTATAAATTGATTATCTTCCAATTAAGTCCTTGTGAATTGTGCAGAAAAAATTGTAATATTTTCAAATTTTAAGAATCTTTAGAATTCATCTACCGTAAGTGAGTCT